GGGATTTCGAGGGAGGTGTTCGGATGTGTGTCGGAGGCTGCAGAGGTTGAGATAAGAGGTCAGTGTATGCGTCGCATGTATTTTGTATCATCTCTACTCACTTCGTTCGGGCCGGTTGGTTCGCCGGGTTGACGGAGGCGAGATGCGTTTATCCTGGAGGAGGAGAAGGCGCGAGCTGCAAGAAATTGAGGCTGGCGAAGGAGGATACGTTGGCGCGAGATTAGCGAAGACATGATGGTTAACATGGCGGTATGCAGCAGGGGCGACTGTCGTGGCTGCCCGCAGTTGCTCTGATCACTAGCCCAAACGCGACTAGCGTCCACGTACGATATCAGGGCCCAAGCACCCAGGCTCCACCTCCAATGTTCCATGGTTCCAATACAGACACAGACTTTCACCAGCTCGGTGGCATCTTGATACTTGCTAACAAACATTTCCGGCTAATTCACTAGCACAGCAAAACATTGTCTTACAAGCTTCCAAGCTTGTCAACCCGGCGGTCATGACCGGAACTAGTCTCTTCTCCCGCGCTCACAAGCCAAGAGTGTCTCCGCCCAAGAAGATGCGCGGCTTCCTCGCCTTGCCCGGTGAGATCAGGAACCAAATATACGGCTACTACTTCGACTCTGAGTGTCGCTGTGAGATTGCCAGCAAAGGATCCCGACTCACGGCGCGAAAGCCGCCGCCGACTGTCAAGTTATCATCAAATCTGATTGCTACGAAGAACACGACAACTGCGCCCACTGCTGAGATAAAAGCTACTCTTCCTATCGTGGTCCGCTTCTCGAGATCTCTTGGCAAATATAACGCTGTTCAAGGTCTCCGAACGAACTGGCCAGGCTCGCTATGTGCGCTAAGTCTTGTTTGCAAGCAAGTTTATGCAGAGACAGTGAAGTTGCTCTACCAAAACACGACTTTCGTCTTCGATGCGCCAAAGCGGATGACAAACTTCTTCAAATATGCCTCGTCCATCCACTTGGGAAGCATTACCAAATTGCATCTCCACTACAGTACTTATGGAAATCCAAACAAGACCGTGGACGTAGTTTGGCAAGAGAAGCATCATCAAAGTTGGTAAGTATGGTTGCGATAGTGACGGACTTTGACGTTGTCCGGTATGCTACACCCAGAAATAACTAACGCCATGTTCACTTTCAGGCAGCGAGCTTGCGAAGCCGCCTCGAAACAGCTTACTGGCTTACGCGAACTTGAGGTCTGTGTAGAGCTTCACCATGGCCCTCGAAAGATCAGCCTGCGAGAGAAATGGATGACACCTCTGCTTCATTTTCGTCGGCTAGCGTCTCCAAAGAAAGCCGCGCGCGGGACCGCGAAGCCACCACCGCTTGATCAGCGACAGCCAGGTCTTCTGATCGTCAAGGTCAAGTTTCAGCATCTTTACGCCAATTATGCGTCGTATGCTGGTCTCCGCGGATTGGATCAGGCAAAAAGGGAGTTGTACATACTCTTCGGGCAGGCTATCGGTCTGGCAATCACAGGGGCGACGGAAGAAGCGGCCCTGTCTGGGTTCAGAGAAGCGTATGAGGGGAGGCATGCACGGTATCAACGCTATCTCCCATCCTCTTGGGCGGGTCCGTAAGGTTCCCGAAAACATGGCCGTGCCGGGTGTTGAGAACGTCGGTCAAAGAGAAGTTTGGGGGGTTGAACATATATTCAGAGGGACCTGATGTGGGCACTCTATGTGCCACTTGGTATTGCATTAGAGCATCATCCTCATGCATATGAAGGCATCAAATATGCTCACAACTCATTACTGGATATAGATTGATGGTCTTCATTGACATTCACTAAATTCTATGGTCTACGCAATGTCTATCCTCTAAGTGATCGCAAATTTCCACTGCCATATAGTCCAGCAAAACACGACTCTCAGATCTAACTACAAATCACTCAGCTCAAGCGCTAGGGTTCTGCTTAGTAGCCTCATCATCGACTTGCGCCTTATTCGTAGCAATCTCCTCTTCAACCTCAGGCGGGAAGTCACCAGGTACGATACCAAAGACACCGACATCACTACGACCCATACCGCCACCCTTCTTCTCCGTCTCCTCGCTCTCCTTCAACACGAAGAACCCAGGGTTCTTCTTCATCTCCTCGCCGTCGAACTCAAACACACGCCAGTCGGCATTGAAGAACATGCGGTTGCATACACCTGTACGCAGGAAACCCGAATGCGAGACAACAGCAATGACTTTCTCGGGGCGGGAGTAGAGATCCTTGAGACACCTCTGTCCACGTGCTAGGATGGCCTTTTCGGTGAAAGCATACGGGTTCTTGGATCCACCGGTGGTCTTATCTGGGAACGAAGGGTCGACGACGGAGAAGTCGTACTGGGGGAATTCCTTGGAGATCTCATCGATGGGTGTTCCCGTGTCACACGGCTTGTCTGCGTTTTCTTGCCAGTTCGCGTCGGGGATTACTGCAGTGCATATCAGTATTAGTCGCATATACATAACACGTCTTGCTCGGTGACATTGCTCTTACCCTTGGTGCCTTTCTTGATAAGCCAGTCCAGCCCGATAGTGGCAGTCTGGAGCGTCCGCCTTTGAGCGCTGACAACGATGAGTTCAACTTCATTGCCGATCTTGCTCTCTTTCAGACTCTCATGTAGCTCGCGACATTGCTGCTCGCCCAGCTCAGTAAGTGGAGGGTCCCTGATAGACCAGTCGCTGGTGGCATTGTGTTGTGCCTGAGCGTGGCGAATGAGTATGAGAGTTGGCGGCATGATGATATATTACAATTGGATAAGAAGAGTGTATTTGGATGGTGGGATAGACGCGTGACGTAAGATACTTATGGATGGAATTGTTGAATGGTTTTCAAAATCGGATTGCAGGGTGACGCGCTAGTGGGGCGGATGTACCTGCATGGCGAATCTGGAATCGTCGATGACGCAGTCAACTGTCAATCCAGAATTGGCAGGAGCGACGAAGCGAGCTTGAGAAGCGGGCCGAACAAGAAGATGATAGTGCTAGTGCTTGACTTTCGTAAATGTTGTTCATTGATCGTGAAAGGCAGTGAGAGCCGCTCGTTATGCATGTAGACCGTCTACGCGGTGTTGTGCAGTCGTCGTCTACTCTTCCATTTTCTCCTCCTCCTCGTCATCATCGTCGTCTCCTTCCAGCGCCTTCTTTGCCAGCTTCTCAGCTTCTTCCCGGATGTCCTTGGGCACTTCCTCGTGCCTGCCCTTGGTAGGACCGTCGAGACTGCTGATCCATGTCATCTCAAGCTCAAACTCCTTGTCCTTGTTGTCATCGTGTGCGACGTAGATGATGCGTGCTGCCTCCTTGACACCCTCCTCCAGTGAAAGATTTCCCTCGGAGAGATTGAGTTTCTCGAGCTCTGACTTGGCGACCTGGCGGCCCTTGCCTGTAGCGGCACCGTAGTAGCCCTGTACACGTTAGTTCTTGAACATATTTAGGTCAAAAGGGTCTTCATACCCAGTATAGACCGCTTGGCTCAATCATGTAGAGCGATGGCCCACCGTGCTTTGCGCCTTCTTTCTTGCCTCCTGAGCCAACAGTAGGCCCTGATCCGACTTGACCATCTACTGGTAGCTCGGCCTCGGAGTCCCAGCCTGCAAGGATGGCGGTTATACCAAAAGGACGGACACTCGAGTAGAGAGTATACGCTTGGGCATAGCTTCCCATGCGGTCGGCGAGAGACGAAGAGGGGATGGGTGCCTTGTAAAGCTGCCGCCATTGGGCTGCCTCATCGCGGGCACGGGAGACGAAGTGGCGACCATCGGGGAGGAGACCGGAAGACACAATGCCCATGTTGCGGTCCACAGTTGCTATCCGCTTGTTCGCGCCGGGCTTGAGCAACTTGCTGCTGACGAGCTTCTCCAGAGCGAGTACGACGCCATCCTTGCACTTGATGCCGACCGCTGTGCCACCGTTCTCTACTGCCTTGACCGCGTATTCGACCTGGAAGTTTCGACCGTCGGGCGAGAAGACCGAGTTGGACAGGTCGTAACCTGTACCTATTGACGTCTACGCCATGGTTAGATCGACTGGGGTGCTTCAGCTGTTACGGTGGGGTGTTTACCATGGTGGGCGGTGTGGAGACTGAGAAGGGCGCTTTGTGTGTTCCGGGCGATCAAATGGACCGCAGATTCTAGGGAAGCAATTACGGGATTGTCAAAGGTTGGCAGTCGTGTGTCTCGGTGTTGATGATTCTAGGCAATGGTGTATCTGCGCAAGCTCCAGGTAGCTCACTAGCGCGCGTGCGTGCCAAGGCCGACACCTAGAGGCATCAACCCGCGTACGTGAACAGCAACTCGCGAGCATTGCAACTCTCGGTCCTCCTTGCTTCGTCCAGAACTGTTGGCGCGATCCGCCTCCTCGTTGCTGGCGCTACTGGTGTGTTCGCTGCCTGCTGTCCCGGCTTCTTCCGTCTGGGCCTCCAATTGCCCGCACCTCACATCCAAAAGTGCATACGCCCATACACATTTGATGAGTTGTCGTCCCAAATCGACCACTATTTGCAAGCTCTCAAGACACATCATTGGCTGCCAGCAGACTAGCCGGACAGGTTGGGTTTCAGCTTCGTCACTAATTGGATGTGGGCGACAAAATTATCAGAATCATCCCGCCTACACGCATGACCCCGACAGCACGCTATACTCAACGGTACATAAAGAACCACCATCACGCTGCTGCGAATTTTCTTCTTGCCCCCTCTTCACTGCTGACTTGGTTCAAGTATATTTGAATACCTTTCCGTTTGTTCTTGACTCATAAAGGCACCCTTTGTCATCCCCCGCCGATTGTCGTCAGCGCCCAACGCAAGCGCGGACAAGTACGATTCCAAGTTTCCATATACTAGCCAACGGCGAATTCTGAGCTCGAGTCTACAAGGTCTTTCAACGATATAGTCCATCACTGTATGCGCCTTTGTCGACTCCTCGCCTAATACAATACTTGAACCTCCGTCTTCCAGAACTTGCCCCTCATCCGCTTGCTGTTGAGACCCTAGAGGACATGCAGCCCATGCTCCTGCACCACTGCGACTGCACTCACGACACGCCCATCTCATTCAGTCCTTACGCCTTTTCTCAGAACATCTCTTGCGCAAATGTAAGCTCGTTCGTCTTCGGCGCTGGTAAAGACTAACGTTACGTCATAGTGCGGCACAATATCTACGGGCATCAACGTTCAGGGGAAAGCAGCAGAAGACGCAAACATGCAACAGGATGAACTTACTCGGCTGTTCTCAGCAAACATGAACTTGTCCCAAGGCAACCCACAGCCCATGCAACCACAGATGCAACAGGAACAACCAGTGCAACAACAGCAACAGCAAGAAGAGGCTCCCAAGCAGATCGTCTACGCTTCTCAACACTACACTCATTCATATCATGTACCTACCCGCAGTACCTCCGAGCCAGCCTTGAAGACACACATCGAATCTTCGGACCTCGCTGCCGTACTTTTGAGGAACAGTATTGATCCTTCTCTTCTGTTCCCTTCCCAGATCGATCTCTTCCAGAATGCAGACGACGATCAGCGGCTACGTCTCCTCGAGCTCTGGCGTATATCTCCTCCATCAGGTCGTCAAGGACATCCAGCAGGCGTGGATTACAACATGTCCCGACAGCTCTACGATTGGCCACCTACCAGTCTCGCACAGGAGGAGGCCATGGCTAAGCTGAGATATGAGAGACAACAGGCGGAGTCCGCCCAGCAAGAGGCTATCCAGCAGCACCAGCAGCAGTTAGATCAGAGCATGGCGGCAGCAAGCGCTGAACCATACATGGCATCAGGCTACGAGATGATGGCTAGACGCGAATACGAGGAGTCATGCAGAGGCGAGAATGCGTTGAAGGAGTCGACCAAGTACAACCAGGCCACCGATCCAGTCTACAACAACACTGGCAGCAGCAACGGCCTCTGGCAGAAGAATGTGGGCAGCGTAGCTGACATGGAGAACACTTACGGAGCATACGCATATGCACGAGAGTATGGGCTGCAGGGTGGTTATGGCGACGAGGAGATGGTCATGTGAAGCGTCCTCTCGTTATGCCGGGCCTCGAGGATAGCTCAGGATGGATTGTTAAGCGTGTGCATGCATATGTGCATATCGAATTTCCTATATTATACCCAGAACTAGTTGTACACACGAACAGTAACGTGGGAGGTCTGTCAAGGATGAGATAGTTCAGTCAGTAGGATACCCGGACATCACTACTTTGTGATTAACCAATCGAGCCATGTCTAAACCTCGTTACATGGAAGAAGAGAACAGTGTCCATGATATTGTACATTTGAGCGGGATACTCTATTTCTTCGCCTTTCCACTGGGCCACTTCTTCCAACCTCTTCCGTGACCCTTCTGCTTCCATTCCTGGATCAAAGCCGGCATGTTCAGCATGGCCTGTCTCCTCATCTCCAAGCGTCCCTTCAGTGTTCGCTCCCAAAGCTTTCCCTTGACCTTCTGTCCTTCGCCTGTGCCCTTGACTTGCAATCCTCTTTCTACCCGCCGCCTTTCCTTCTCACCAGGCTTCTTCACAGTCCATGGCAGTAGGTCGACGACACCATGCTCCGAGGCAAGCTTAACAAGATCGGCTTGTTTCCGTAGACCATACGCGGGGGAGTGCCACCGTCCAGTTGCGAAGTTCTTGTGTGGGAGGAATGGATTTGGGTAGGGCAGGTCGTGTGCTTCTGGTGGTATGTTCGAATTTGAGGGCGCATTTGCGGGTCTTGCGATGGCCTCTGGCGCGGATGTCTCGGTCACGGAGGCATTGGGGTTGGTTGGTGGGGTTGTCGATATTGTGCTCGGGGTTGCGTGTGAAGTCGGTGATGCGAGTTGAGATGACAGACTGGGGAAGAGCGATGGTGGCGGGTACTTTTGGAAGAAGCGCAGTAACCGCGGGGGCAGCGACTTTGCGATTTCGACAGACGTTTGGGCGCTCATGGTGGGTATCTTGTGGGTTGCGCTCGATGTGGGCGTGTCTGTTGGTGCATCTCAAAAGTTCGGTGCCAAGAAGGCGGTTTCGAGCTAGGTACGAGTGTCCAGGGCGGCCCGGGGAGCTCGCGCCTCCGCGTAACACTGTGAGCTGCCTGCCCAGCTGAGTACATCACAAGCACCCACAACACCACCGTTTCCCACATACTCCGCAGAGCTCTACGTCCCCGTCTGCTACTGTATTTGCCAATCGAGGGGCATCCCACATCACACACACAGCCATGGTAAGCTGCCCGCAGTCAACTTGGAGTCCATAGCTAATCGCAACAGTCGTCACCATTCTCAATAAGTACGCCTCCACCAAGAACCACCCCGCATGCTCTTCTAATAACTTGAACAGACGGTGGCGCCTGCGTGGCCATGGTGGGCAAGGACTGCGTAGCCATCGCATGCGACCTGCGTCTCGGCATGCAAGCCCTCACCGTGTCCAACAACTTCCCCAAGATCTTCCAGTACGGCGACGTCTTCCTAGGTCTGACCGGCCTCGCCACCGACGTATCCACCGTATCAGACCTGTTCCGCTACAAGGTCAACATGTACCGCCTCCGCGAAGAGCGCAACATCAGCCCCCAGACCATGGCGAACCTCGTCAGCTCAAGTTTGTACGAGAAGCGCTTCGGACCCTACTTCATCAGCCCCGTAATCGCCGGTATCAACCAGACAAGCGGGAAGCCCTTCATCTGCGGATTCGACAGTATTGGGTGCATCGACTTTGCGAAGGATTTCATTGTTAGCGGAACAGCAAGCGATCAGCTGTTCGGTACATGTGAGGGACTGTGGGAGCCTGATCTAGTGAGTTATATCAGTACGTGGTATTGGGCTAGGCTAACATCGTGATAGGGCCCCGAGGACCTCTTCGAGACAATCTCACAGGCGCTGCTCAACGCTGTCGACCGAGACGCACTTTCAGGCTGGGGCGCACACGTATACATCATTGAGAAGGACAAGGTCACAAAGCGGTTACTCAAGGGCAGGCAGGATTGAGGTGTTGTACGGCACGTGGTGGCATATAATCATGTTTATGAGCTATGAGGAATGCTACAGGCCGCCGGGGGTCTACCTCGAGGCTGTGACAGGAAAATGGGAACGACCAAACTATCTTATGATACGTACGCGGAAGCACCCCAAATACGCCAATCTGAATAGTAGACGGCTAGACTTGGCCTCTGAATCAAAGTATCTCCAAGTCCACATATAATAATCCATGGTACAGCTCCTTCCTCGGGCTTGGAAGCCCGAAGGTAACAGTACCCAGCATCGGACTATCGGTTGGACCGGCTCTACCCCTGCGTATCAAGGTCTACCTATTGTGTGTGACACTACTCCAAGGTGGTTCCCTAGATGATACCTGGGAACCACATCATGCAGTGGGGCCAGGGTACTATCGATAGCAGCCACGCACGTGATCTGGTGTTGCCTTAGCGTACATGCACCTTATAGTTCGCGCGAATCCTCCTCCGCAAGTCCACGAACCGTGACCCCCGCGAAACGAAGATGACTGCCGCCGTTCCGCCCCCAGCTGCTCGCAAGCAGCCACCGAGTATCGACGACATCCTCAAGGCCAAGCGCGAGAAAGAAGCGGCTGCCGCAAAGCCAAAGTTCATACCGAAGGCCGAGAGAGAGCGCATCGCGCTTGAGAAGCGCCAGAAAGAAGTTGAAGAGGCGCAAAAGAGGCGAGAGGCTTCGAACGGAGACAGCGACGCATGGAGACATTCGCAAGACAACAACCGCACAAATGGCCACAACAGCCACAACGGCTCGTCCTCATTCGTACCCACGGGGCCGCGCTCGATGCGCGATGCGCCGACTGGACCGTCGTCCATGCGAAACGATCGCAGAAATGGAGACATGGCGCCTCCTCCACCGCCGGATAAGAAGGGCAACAAGCGCCCTGCTGACGACACCGAGGCGGCCTTGATAAGGCAAAGATACATGGGCGCGGAACAAAATCAGTCGACGTTCTCGGCCAAGAAAAAGCGCAAGAGGACGACGGAAAAGAAGTTCAATTTCGAGTGGAACGAGGAGGAGGACACGAGCCACGATTACAACCCCATCTACCAGCAGAAAGCTGAAGCAAGCTTCTTTGGGCGCGGCCGACTAGGCGGCTTCTCTGAGGAAGTCACCAGCGCAGCAACAAAGAAGATGATCGATGCGATTATCGAGCGAGACCCGGAACATGGCAGAGAACGAGCTGAGCAGCTACTTGAAATGGAGCGACGGCGGAAAGACAGGGGCGGTCGCGCACAGTTGGACATGCACTGGAGCAAGAAGAAGCTGGAGAACATGCGAGAGCGCGACTGGCGCATCTTCAAGGAAGACTTCAGCATTGCTACCAAAGGAGGCGCAATACCGAACCCTATGCGCAACTGGGGTGAGTCAGGGCTTCCGGAGAAGCTCTTGCGCATCGTGGACGAGGTCGGCTACTTTGAGCCCTCACCTATTCAACGTGCGGCTATACCTATTGCTCTGCAGTGTCGCGACCTGATCGGAGTCGCTGCAACGGGTTCGGGTAAAACCGCCTCCTTCGTCCTGCCACTGCTTGCCTACATCTCACAACTACCTCCTCTCGACGCGTTCAACCGACACGATGGCCCGTATGCCCTCGTCCTCGCACCAACTCGCGAACTTGCTCAGCAGATCGAAGTGGAGACTCGCAAGTTCGCATTACCACTAGGTTTCAAGACGGCTGTCCTCATCGGTGGTCACTCCATCGAGGAACAGTCGTTCCAGATGCGTGACGGAGCCGAGATTATCATTGCCACGCCCGGTCGTCTGGTTGACTGCATTGAGCGTCGAGTCCTTGTTCTTAGCCAATGCACTTATGTCATCATGGACGAAGCTGACAGGATGATTGACATGGGTTTCGAAGAGCCCGTTAATAAGATTCTCGACGCTCTACCTGTCAACAACGAGAAGCCTGATAGCGAAATTGCTGAAGACCCCACTGCCATGAAAGCAGGAATGTACCGTCAAACCATGATGTACACAGCTACTATGCCGCCAGCTGTAGAGAGAATCGCGAAAAAGTATACACGTCGTCCTGCCATCGTTACAATCGGTAACCAGGGCGAGGCTTCCGACACTGTTGAGCAGCGTGTCGAGTTCGTCCAGGGAGAGGAGAAGCGGAAGAGGCGTCTCCAAGAAATCTTGAATACGCGCGAATTCGCCCCACCGATCATTGTCTTTGTCAACATCAAAAAGAATTGCGATGCGATCGCTCGCGACATCAAACATATGGGCTTCGCATCGGCTACAATCCACGGTGGAAAGACCCAGGATCAGCGTGAGGCTGCTCTTGCATCCCTCAAGAATGGGCAGATCCAGGTGCTCGTCGCCACAGACGTGCTCGGTCGTGGTATTGACATTCCAGATGTTTCCCTGGTTGTCAACTTCAACATGCCACCTAGCATCGAAACATACACGCATCGTATTGGTCGTACTGGTCGTTTGGGAGCGGACTCTGACAAGCCCGGTGTTGCAATCACTTTCTGGGGTAACGAAGATGCGGATGTGCTATACGATCTTAAGCAGATTCTCATGAAGAGTGAGATAAGTAAGGTACCTGAAGACTTGAAGAAACATGAGTCGGCGCAGCAAAAGGGCAAGAAGAGCATGGGCAAAAACATCACTTAATGAATTGTAGGACCAGCATCCATGAGGATGAAGATAGGGAAGTAGTTGATTACATAGCTCTCCGTTCTTACCACAGAGAAGCACGGTGCAAGCCGCGATAGGAAGCAATAAAGCACAGTCGTCATAATTTTCCGAGACATGGGCAAACTGCCAACTGCCATGGCAGATGGCCTAATGCGCGACTCGGTAGTGCCGATCTACCCCGGACTGCCTGCACTCCTAAGCTGCAACCCGTTAGCAAGTGGAGAAAGGCAGCGTCACTCGGACGCTCCGTCCTGTTGGTTTGCAATGCAAGCCGCGCGTGGTCAATTAGTGCACGCGCACCGTTGACGCTCGTACACGGAAAATCCCCGCCTCGATAGAAATAAGCCCTTACTCGATGTCGCTTCCTACCGGCCCGTTTCTCC